TTATGTATTTGAAAGTCACAGTTTCGCAGAGAGAGAGAGAGGGCTTCCAACTACTAGTTCACTCCCCAGTTGGCAGCAATGGCTGTGCCGATCTGAAGCCAGGAGCCAGGAGCTTCTTCCGGATCTCCCACATGGATGCAGGGGCCCAAGGACTTGGGCCATCTTCTACTGCTTTCCCAGGCCATAGCAGAGAGCTGGACTGGAAGTGGAGCAGCCGGGACTCAAACCAGTGTGGATATGGGATGCCAGCATTGTAGACGGCGGCTTTACCCACCATGCCACAGTGCTGGCCCCAGTATTTTTATACTTTCAAGTCTTTCATTTAAGTCTGCACTCCATTTTGGGTTGATACTTTTTAAATTTGTATTTATTTATTCGAGAGGCAAACAGAAAAAGAGAGTGAGCTCCCATCCACTGGTTCCCTCCTCAAATGCTTGGCAATGGCCAGCGCTGAACCACTGCAAAGCCAGCAGCTGGAGACAATCTAGGTCTTTTACACAGCTGGCAGAGACCCAGCCACCTGAGCCATCATCACGGCCTCTCTCAGCCTGCACTCGCATGAAGTGGAACCGGGAGCCAGAGTGAGGACTCAAACCAAGGTACTCTAATGCAGAGCGCAGTAGCTAGTGGATATTTTTTTAAATGGTGTGAGGTAATGGTCCAATTTCATGTGGATATCCAACAACCTTTACTGAACAAATGCCCTTTTTCTAGAGTGCGCTCTTGGTATCTTTTTCAAAAATAAATTCACCATAAATTTGAGTTCATTTCTGGCTCCAGTCTCTTCCTCTGATTGATGTTTCTATTTTTATGCCATTATTAGGCTATTTCGATTACTACACATTTGTAGTTCTATATATTTTGAAGATTGGCCATGTGATACCTCCAGCTATGTTCTTATTACTCAAGATTGCTCTGGCTATTTGGGATTTTTTTGTGGTCCCATTTGAATGTTAGCATTGCTTGTCCTATTTATGTGAAAAATGGCATTGACTTATATGCTGAGTTAATTAATCGATAAAACTGTAGCTGAAGAATGTGCTCTAAATTCTAAATCTAAGCTTGTGATGGCATACAAACATTAATAATTCAGAGAGCTAAAGCAGGTGCAACACAGTCAAGTTTTGGATGAAGAGCATGAAGGGAAACTTCAGGGACAAGAGAGAAGCTGGCAAGAAAGTCCTAGTGGATGAGATGAACAGGAAATTAATTTCCAGTGCCAGAGCTTCTTGCCTACAACACCTTTATAACAATATACCGGGGCCAGTGTTGTGGCGCAGCGGGTTAAAGCCCCTGCCTGCAGCGTCGGCATCCCATATGGGCGCTGGTTCACAACCTGTCTGCTCCTCTACCAATCCAGCTCTCTGCTATGGTTGGGAAAGCAGTAGAAGATGGCCCAAGTCCTTGGGTTCCTGCACTGTGTGGGAGACCTGAAGGAAGCTCCTGGCTTCAGATTGGCCCAGCTCTGGCAGTTGCAGCCATTAGGGGAGTGAACACGTTGAATGGAAGACCTCTCTCTCTCTGGCTCTACCTCTTTCTGTAACTCTTTCAAATAAATAAAATAATTCTTTGAAAAAAATACCAATCAACAAATGGATAAACATTAAAACATTAGGCAACACCAAGTAGTATGAAGAAACAGAGCTAAGAGCCCACTATACCAGTAGGAGCATAAAGTGGTATAACCAACCACTTTGAAAACAATTTGGCATTATCAAGTAAAGTTAAACATGCAGTCAGTCTCCTTGGCACACAACAATTTGACAGTCCCAGTGCCTAGAAAAGTCTCAAATGTGTACCTATGTAACACACAGGGAAGGCATGTATCAGGAGTCATGAACAAGAATATTGATAGTGCGTTAGCTGTTCATAAGAGAATGGATAAATGCTACATATTCACAAAGTGAGCATGAATGAAAAACAACATGAATAAATCTCAAACAATGCTGAGCAGAAAAAGCAAAGATCACAGGAAAATGTGTGTATTAGCTTAATTTTTGCTTAAGGGTATGTAAGTAGATGCGTTGTTTTTTTTTTTTTTTTTTTTTTTTTTGACAGGCAGAGTGGACAGTTAGAGAGAGAGACAGAGAGAAAGGTCTTCCTTTTGCTGTTGGTTCACCCTCCAATGGCCGCTGTGGCTGGCAAACCGCGCTGATCCGATGGCAGGAGCCAGGTATTTATCCTAGTCTCCCATGGGGTGCAGGGCCCAAGCACTTGGGCCATCCTCCACTGCACTCCCTGGCCACAGCAGAGAGCTGGCCTGAAAGAGGGGCAACCGGGACAGAATCCGGCGCCCCAACCAGGACTAGAACCCGGTGTGCCAGGGCCACAAGGCGGAGGATTAGCCTAGTGAGCCACGGCACCGGCCTAGTAGATGCTAATACTTAACAGTAAAGAATTACTGCCGGGGCCGGGGTTGTGATGTTATGGGTTTAACTGCCACCTGCAACACCAGCATCCCATAGGGGTGCTGATTCAAGGCACAGCTGCTCCAATTCCCATCCAGCTCCCTGAGCCTGGGAAAACAGCAGAGGATGGCCCAAGTCCTTGGGCTCCTGCCCCCACGTGGAAGACCCCAGTGGAGCTCCCGGTTCTGGCCTGGCCCAGTCTTAAGCTGCTATGGTCTTTTGGGGAGTGAACCACAGAATAGACAACCTCTCACTTCTGTAACTCTGCCTTTCAAATAAATTTAAAAAAAAAAAAATACTGATGATCATATTATAAAAAGGTAAGGGAATGATTTGTTCTTATAGTAATGATATTTTGTAACAGAGTAGAGACACACTCAAAATGGATGCTCTTTAACTGAAAATGTCAGTCTCAATAGCCTGCAATTTTTGAAACCTCATTCCAGATCTATTTTTATTATCCTACTTTTTTCTTTCCTTTACTCTTAAGTTGTTATATTTTATCCATTTTTGTAAACCAACCTAAGCCCTTCTAGAACAAGTGTTATAAAATACACATTAGAAATCATAATGCAGAAATAAAAAAGCAGTTTGGAGAGATCATCTCATAACCACGCACACAAAACTCCAAAGGGACTTTGTAGCAGATGGCAATGGGCATAAACTTGGTGGTTATCCCATCAGAACACCAGTTAAATTTCAAGCTCCAGGAAAGTACTTCACAGACAATAATGATCGAAATAAATCAATGGGAATCTACTGAGGAACGTAATTTTGGGCTAGCAAATACAGTAAGGTAAGGCTAGCAGATACAGTAACATACATGGAATATATGTACACATAAAGAATTTTAATCACGGTAAAAACTCACTGAAATTACACTAATGAAGCAAAGAGTAGCTCCACATAGTATTACAGCTTTTTCAATCTTTACGTGTAAATCACAGAATATATTTACTCATTACAGAAGAAACTCCAAAACAGTCTTTATTATTTATTATTTAATATTTATCAGTGTATACATAAATAACTACACAAATACATTGAAAAGTTCAGATGTATCCTATCCACTTTAAGCCTTGAAAATAGCTATCTATGTAGAAATAAGTCCATTCCCACATTACAATTTTCATTTTAAAATCAGATTTGTTTCCTAGAATGCTATGCATAAATATAAATAACAATATCAATGCCATTTGGACATAAAATGTTTTAATTTAAAAAGAATTTTCCCAGTTATGAATAAAACAATTTGTTGAAAATGAGGTAGATTATGAGTTAAAACACAGCATACATGTTGTTAATTAAGGAATGTGTACCATACATTGAGGTCCTTTCATTTTTTTTTTTTTTTAGAAAGATCCTGTTTCTAGAGCATGAAACAAATGAGGTTTCTTCTATATTAACTAGAATTTTAAAAAATACATCAATACTAGGTCAGGGGTGGGGAGACTAGGCATTAAACACCAGAAGACAAAATATCATATTCCCGTTCCTAAGCACCACAATTTATCATTTCCCAAGACAATTTTGGTTGTTTCCTCTGTAAGGCAAAAGAAGAAAAGCCAGCAAAATAAGAGTATCATTTACAGTAAGCCTACTTATCTGTCATAGCTGGGAAATCCAAGACTCTGGTTAACTGAAAACAGTGCTACACAGGTGTCAAGGTGTCTCTCCACATAAGGAAGTACCTCTGCGTATCAGCGTGTTTGTACCTGTATGTATCCTTCTACACAACCATATTTATGGGTTCCACAGAATTAGAAAAGAATACACAGCACTGAAAAATACAGTGACAACTTCATTCATTCAGCAAATACACACTGAATACAACCATATTTAAGGACCACCTCATTAAAACTTCGGCATCTAAGACATCCCAAAGGATGGGATCATTTCCCCAAAGTCGTCACGCAAGACAGGTCTGGTCAGTGGGCATTTGGTCTAGCAGCTAAGTCACTGGTTAGGATACCCACATTCCACATCAGAGTATCACAGTACCTGGACTGGACTCCCAGTTCCAATTCCTGATTCCAGCTCCTGATAATCCACACACTGGGAGGCAGCAGGTCATGGCTCAAGGAGTTGGGTTCTTGCCACCCACATGGAAGACTGGATTAAGTTCCTGGCTCCAGGCTTTGGTCCCAGCCAGGGGCCACTACAGGCATTTAGCAGCAAATGGAAACTCAACCACCCACCCTCCCTCCCTCCCTCCTCTCTGTAATAAACCAGCAGATTGGAACTCTGTCTCTGCTTCTGAAACTTTTTTTTTAATTAAAAGTTTATAGCCTAATAAGAATTTGACTTCAGTTTGCAAACTCAGAGGACTTCCAATACCTTCCCAGGGACTTCATGATGATCACTGAGGATGTCACAAAGGGAGGCAGCTTAAGTACAAAAACTCCAGTTGTGTTTACTCTGCATACTGTGTAAGTGATCACTAGGACAGACTTCTTTGTAGGAAGGGTTATCTGTAAAACCATAATTTATTATAATTTATTGGCTCTATCTTCCCCAATTTAATGTATCTCTGAAACGGCTACAACATACTGTAATTTTCAATAAGAAAAAAGGTTTCTTCCTCTAACTCACCTTTATACTCATTTGTTCCTTCCCTTTGTTTTGAAAATCATGATTCACATCTGAGAAGTCCCCTTACACAAAGTAGATCTTTAATCAAACTCAAATGTTTCACAGAATTTATTTTTGTGTGATGTTTCTGTGAAGGAAACAGGATTCCAGAAAAAGTAATCAGGATTGGAGTCAAGCCCTTTTGGACAATCGTTCTCTCTTTACTTACATGAGCGTGCATCAGGGCTCAACAGATTGTAAAAGACAGTAGCCACGGGGCCGGCTCTCTCCCTCTCCTGTGACGCAGCGGGTTAACGCACCGGCGTCCCATATGGGCGTCGGTTCTAGTCCCGGCTGTTCCTCTTCTGATCCAGCTCTCCGCTATGGCCTGGGAAAGCAGTAGAAGATGGCCCAAGTCCTTGGGCCCCTGCATCCGCGTGGGAGACCTGGAAGAAGCTCCCGGCTTCTGGCTTCGGATCGGTGCAGCTCCGGCCATTGCAGCCATCTGGGGAGTGAACCATCGGACAGAAGACCTCTCTCTCTCTCTCTGCCTCTCCTCTTTCTATGTGTAACTGTGACTTTCAAATAAATAAATAAATCTTAAAAAAAACCAGTAGCCACAGTCCATGGGGAGACAACCAGGACTTACCAAGGAATTCATTCTCAACTTTAAAACCATTGCTCATAAATAGTTAAACCCAAATTAGTTTCCTCAACACAGGTTGCTTAAATGTCACTTCACATACTTCGTTTCTTTGGGCTTTGACTGCGGAATTCCATCTGGACTGACAGAAGATAGAACTGAATGCTTCTTAGGTCGGTAGTGCTGATCCTTGGTTTTAGACCTTTCTGAAAACAACATCCTAACTGAGTAGAGCCCTTTAAGACACAATACACAAGCTCTGCCCTCAGACTGGAATACACTACAGCTTTCATCTGTCCAGACACAACAAATACAGACAGGTAAGTGGGAAGGAAAGAAGCAAGAAGTAGGAGCGCTCTTCATTGGCACACAGAAACCAGCAGAAACGTGGGGCAGTCCAAGGGGGTGTGCATGCTAAAATGTGAGGTGACCCACACAGCTGAGCAAAGCAGGAGACTCCCAGGCCCTCTCTTGCTCTCTTCCCCTTCCAGGACAGGGATATAGAAGAGCCCTAAGTGCTTGGAATAAAGACAGCCCCTCTCCCAGCTGGAGTTATTAGAGACCTATGTCAACTAGAGGAGACCACTCCTCAAATAGGAGTCCAGTGAGACCCAAAACCCTGGGTGCTGCCCTCCTCTCACCCCTTGCTCTATGCCTACAGCCTTGAGAACACCAGGGAAGAAATCCATCACACTTCTTGGCACCTTAACTGCAGATACGGTGAGAAGCTCAGACTCCCCGGGGGACTCTTCCACTGCTTCCCCAGACCCTACCTTCATCAATCCGTCCTGCCTGCAAGCCTCCTCCTGTGCTCTCTGGAACCTCCAGGCTGGTCACCAACACCTAGACCGTCCTCTTCTTGGCAGGCTCGCTCCATCTAACTCTACACCTGACTTTTCCCTAAGGATGACCCTTGCCCCAAGCCCTCTTACATAGAGGCTCCTTTTACCCCCCAATCCCTGCACTTCACTCACTGCCTTCCACCACACTCTAATATTTTTTTTTTAAAGATTTTATTTATTTACTTGAGAGGTAGAGTTAGAGAGTAAGAGGGAGAAACAGAGAGAAAGGTCTTCCTTCTACCGGTTCACTTCCCAAATGGCTGCAACAGTTGGAGCTGAGCCAGGAGCCAGGGACGACTTCTGGGTCTCCCACATGGGTGCAGGGGCCCAAAGACTTGGACCACCTTCTACTGCTTTCCCAAGCCACAGCAGAGAGCTGGGTTGGAAGAGCAGCCAGGGCTAGAACCAGCACCGATATAGGATGCCAGCACCACAGGCAGAGGATTAACCTACTGAACCACAGTGCCGGTCCCTCACCACATTCTTACCACTGCCCCTCCTTTCCTCTTCCGAAAAACCTGGGCTGTGAGCGGTGCAAACCAAACTATTCACTACTCCTCTCATTCTGGGAGGACCTGGGTTCCTGGCTCCCTGTCACCTCCATCATGCATGTGGCTACAACTCCTGGTGGATTCACAATCCACACAAAGGCTTCCAATTCTGTCTTCTCAGTCGTCATCAAGTTCTCGGGCCCCTGCACCCATGTGGGAGGAGCCAAGAGCTTCTTTTGGGTTTCCACGCGGGTGCAGGGGCCCAAGGACTTGGGCCATCTTCCACTGCTTTCCCAGGCCACAGCAGAGAGCTGGATTGGAAGTGCAGCAGCCGAGTCTCGAACTGCTGCCCTTATGGGATGCCGGTGCTTCAGGCCAGGGTACTAACCTGCTGTGCCAAAGTGCCGGCCCCATACACATCTACCACATCAAAATTTTTTAAAGAGTATCATGATGCTGGAAGGGAAAACATCCACAACAGAGAAAGAAAAACTGAGTTAAGAAATGACTAAGCACTCATGTTATCTGCAGAGGTAGTAAGTGACCTTTTCTCATAGAAAATACATTCTCTAACTCTCCCTCCAGTGCTGCCACCATGCAGGGGCTTCAGTGTCCATGCCAACAGATTTAAACTGCGGATCTGTAGAACACCTAATGAACTGCCAGTGAATGAAATTGCTAGTTCCTTTTAAAAATAAGAGCCAAAAATGGTAGCAACACTCAGCAAAGTAGTACTAGAAGTACACAATTTGTGCCAAAATAGTTCCTTTTGTGTGAAGTATTGATTTTCCTGTAAGATTCAGATAAACACTCAAAGTGATAAATTTGAATATACATGCCACTCCAAAACCTCCCCTTAGCAGGGACTTACCTATTGCACACCACACCGCCTACACACCTACTTGATAGCACACTGCCCTGGAACCGCCCTGGATTCTGAATGCCTAGGGAACAAGGGCACTCCTCTGCATTCACATCACCTGGGGACACAGTATACATCAGTACAGTTGAGCTTCACTAAACCTCTATAAAACCAGTGTCCAGTTCTCCCCCCTCATTTAATGCTGTGCTTTATCTAGATTATGCTGCAACCACTCAATCAGTAGGCATGTTTAAACTTTTTTTTTCCGAGTTTTTTTTTTTTTTTTTCTTTGAGAGGCAGAAACTGACAGAGTGAGCTCCCACCCCATGGTTTTCTCCCCAGATGCCTGCAGCAGGGGCAAAATCGGGCAGGGCCGAAGCCAGGAGCAGGGGACTCAATCCAGGTCTCCCACGTGAGTGGTGGTATAGCTGGTAAAGCCACAGCCTGTGATGCCAACATCCCATATTGGTGCCAGTTCGTGTCCAAGCTGCTCCACTTCCTACCCAGCTCCCCACTAATGTCCTGGGAAAAGCAGTAGCAGCTGGCCCAAGTGCTTGGGTCACTCACATGGAGACCCAGATGAACTTCCTGGCTCCTGGCCTCAGCCATGGCTATGATAGCCATCTGGGGAGTGAACCAGCAGATGGAAGATCTCTCTCTCTCCCTCTTTCCCTCTCTCCCTCTCCTCTTTCAAATAAATAAATAAATCTTTAAAACAAAAGCAGAAGGACACACAAAGATTATTTGCAAATACAATGTCATTTTATATAGGGGATCTGAGCATCTTTGAGTTTGCGTATACACAGACGGCAAGTGGGGTCGGTAGAACCAATCTCCCAAAGACACTAAGGGACAATTGTAGATGGCTTTTCATTATCAAAATGTAAGCAGTAAGAGGTTTTGTCTGAGTCCGTCCAGGCTGCTATTACAAAGTACCACAGACGGGATGGCTGACAAACAACAGAATTTTATTTCTCACAGTTCTAGAGGCTGAAGTCCAAGATCAGAGTGGCAGCATGACTGGGTTCTGGTGAGGGTCCTCTTCCAGGTGCAGACAGCTGCCTGCTCACTCTAACTTCACGTGGTAAAAAGACCGTGAGCCAGCTCTCTGGCCTCTGATTACAACAGCTCTAATGCCATCCACGGGGGCACCACCCCGTCACCAAATCACCTCCCCAAGGCCCCACTTCCCAATGCCATCTCATTGGGGGTTAGGATTTCAACCTGTGAACTGGTTGGGAGAAGCGGCTCAAACAATTCATAACAATTATCAAAACAGTCGTCTTTGTATTTGTGGAATTCTGTATTTAAAGGAGGATTACGCTCGTGATTATAAAGTAAACTGAAAGTATGTTATCACAAAACTTAAAAATAAGGAAGGAAGGAGGAGGGAGGGTGGGAAGTTACCATTATGTTCTTAAAACTATATAAATGAAATACATGAAACCAGTTCTCTTTACATAAATAAATGCATATTTTTTAAAATGTAAGTTACTCATGGGATAGTTAACATAATGTGCCCTCAGGAGATTTAAGAAGACCAAAGTACTCCAGCACTTTGCTGTGTTTTCACAGCATTCCCCTGAAACTCAAAGGAATGATGCCAGGGCAGGGTAGAAACCTGGGTTACAGGCTCTGCTGGGATACACATGAGCTGGCCCCGGAGCAGGGGCCTACACACATCCTCATGAACTTTCCTCAGGCAGCTCACGATCACCAACTTCTGTGGCTCTTAGTACTTAAAGTTCTCACCAGAGTCTTAATCATTTTCCCAAAGTCTACCCTCGCCGTTGGATGCTAAGTTCCCTGCCTTTCTTCACCTCAGATCCCCATCCTCCTTTACATATGGAGGATGGAACTAAATTAACAATCAAAAAATGAGGTGGCACACCAGAATACCTCTAGGGTGAGTTTAGATGCTAATGTAGTAAGAGCATTTTTCCCTCTTGAATTCTATAAATGCTTGGATCTAATTAAAACGGTCGTGGATCACCTACTTTCAATAGGGCTTTATGCTTGGTGTACAGAGAGAAAAAGAGGCATCCAAAGGCACATGAGGACTGGGTGTTGTCCTTGCCCCTGAAAGAAACACATCTAGCAGGGGGTGGGAGTCGGGGGAGGTGGTGTGCTGGTGGTAAAATGCATTAAACAACTAGGGCAAAGTAATAGTATCTGGGAACTTCTCTATGTCCCTCCCACAGTGCTGGCAACAGAGAACATAAAAGAAGCATGTGGCCTGAGCCATGCCTACAGAAGTCTCACTGCCTAACTGTGGACTTCAATTATGTAACTGAGGGAAAACCACCCCAACAAATAACAGAGTTCCCCAGCCAAGATGCTAAAGCTAGGCAACCTTTGAGGCCTGGAGTAGAACTCTTGAGACTGGCCTTTGCCCTTGGCCCCTCTTGGTCTCCTCTTTGTAAGCGTCCCACCCCTTAGTAGTACAACTTAGTATCTAGGCACAACCTAGCAGCCAAAGAACTAATTCAGCAGCCTGCCTCAGAGCCAAACAAGAAACAGGAGGGGAACCCAAGACAAGCACATCCTACTTAGCCCAAGACCAGAAGAGGAGCAAGAGACAAGATCTCCAGTTTTCTTGGGAGGAAACCCTTAGCAGCGCTGCCAGTCCTTCTCAGGTGACCAACACCAGCTGTTTACTAAATTCTGAGAGAATGGGGGGAGCTTTCAGGAGCAGGAGAAATGCTCTGACAGGTCAACAAAGCAGAAAATGGCAAGAGATGGGGGTGACACTTTAAAATGAAGGTAGAATGAGATATTGAACATTGTGCAACTCAGCAAAGTAGGCAGACTTTTTTTTATTTTTTTTAAGGATTTATTTAAATAAATAAATTTGAAAGGCAGAGTTATAGAGAGGCAGAGGCAGAGAGAGAGGCGAGAGAGAAAGTCTTCCATTCCCTGGTTCACTCCCCAGATGGCCACAATGGCCAGGGCTGCACCAATCCGAAGCCAGGAGCCAGGTGCTTCTTCTGGGTCTCCCATGTGGGTGCAGGAGTCCAAGGACTTGGGCCATCTTCCACTGCTTTCCCAGGCCATAGCAGAGAGCTGGATCAGAAGAGGAACAGCCGGGACTCAAACCAGTGCCCATAAGGGATGCCGGCACTACAGGTGGCAGCATTACCAGCTATGCCACAGCACCGGCCCCAGACTTTTTTTTAAAAAAGGATTTATATATTTATTTGAAAGTCAGAGTTACAGCGAAAGAGGGAGAAACGAGAGAGAGAAGATATCAATCTTCCATCCACTTGTTCAGTCCCCAAATGGCTATAACAAGGGCTAGACCAGGCCGAAGCCAGGAGTGTCATCTGGGTCTCCCACATGGGTGAGGGGCCCAAGCACATCTGAGCTACTATATATCTTTCCGTCCACTTACTTTTCTTCTCTTGGTGCTCAAATTTTAAAAAATTCAAAACCCATAGTTCTGAAAAGTTGAAAATCGATCACTCACTTTCTCAGAGGCTGCTGTTCACGCCTCTTCATCTCTGAAAGTTCATGGTGATGAAGGATACATGGCAGCAGTCAAGGCCTCCCTTTCAGAAGGGGAAACAAGGAACTAGCGAACCTGGTCTTCTAGCCTATTAGTGTACTGCGTCCATCTCCCTTGGTTCTATGCTCAAATACCTGCATGCAGGCAACTCCTCCTCAGTGTTCATGTAGTGAAGCCCCACTTGTCCACCTGTAAAATCTTTTCCTTCAGTTACACTGAAAAATCTTTCCGATTAAGACCCAAAATTAAAAATCTACCTTAATTCTTATCCAAAGAGGAAAATGAAAATGTATTGTGATAAATCTTTTCACTTCATCAATAGTCCCATAGCCTTTTACATATTTCCTCAAGAAACAGACAAAAACCACAACATCAAACAACCAGTAAATACTTAATTAGCAATAAACAACAGCCAAAGAAGGCAGAACAGCCATACTCTTATACTCTAATAAACTGATAAGCACAAAGAGCCAGGGTCAAGGCTGGTGCTGTCACACGGCATGATAAGCTGCCACCTGCATCGCTGGCATCCTATACAGGGGCCAGTCCAAGTCCCAGCTGCTCCACTGCCAATCTAGCTCCCTGTTAACGCCCTGGAGAGCAGCAGACTGTGGCCTAGTTCCCTGAGCCCCTGCACCCACATGGGAGTCCCCAAAGATGCTCCTGACCTGGCTTCGGCTTGGCCCAGCCCTGGCCTTTGTGGCCATTTGGGGAATGAACTGGCGGATGGAAGACCTCTCTCTCTGTCTCTATCTCACTCTCTAACTCTGCCTTCCAAAATAAACAAATCTTTAAAAGAGAGACAAAGTTAATTCAGTGAGAACCACACATATATATACAAAATTATCAGTACATATTACTAAATAAAGATAACAAACCAGGGGCCAGTATTGTGGCATGATAGGTAAAGCCAGCAGCTGTGATGCCTACATCCCATATGGGCACTGGTTCAAGACCCAGCTGCTCCACTTCCAGTCCAGCACCCTGTTAATGTAACTGGGAAAGCAGCAGAGGATGGCCCAAGTGCTTGGGCCCCTGTACACACATGGGAGACTTGTAAGAAGCTCCTGGCTCCTGGCTTCAGACCAGACCAGCCCTAGCAATTGCAAGCATATTGGGAGTGGACCAGTGGATGGAACATTCTCTCTCTCTCTCTCTCTCTCTGTCTCTGTCTCTCTCTCTAATTCTGCCTTTCAAATAAATAATCTTTAAAAAAAAAAAAAAAAACAGAAAAATTACAAGCACTTAAGTTATTCTTACGTTAAGGAGATAAAAATTAAAAGCTTCATTTTGTTAGAAGAGAACAAAGAAAACAGAGTAAAGGGAAGAATGAGAAGGAAGCGGGAGAGGTAAGTTTTGAGAAACGGAGTACATGCTTGAGCGAGAGGCTGCAGACGATGTTTGAAGCAGAAACACGGATCTGCTCTCAGCTCCACAGTCAGAGAGCAGAACGGCCAGGGGAGGGTCACCATTGCTGGACAACACTGGCAGGTCCACTTCTGCTAGGACAACGTGACGGAGAATCCATGCAGGACAGTCTCCTTAACTAAACTCCAATGGCTTGCCCAAGTAACCCTGCTCATGTCACGTCGCATTTTGTTAAGGACATTTAGACTAAAAAGCCTGTTGGGGGTGGGAAGAGGAGACAGATGTGGTCCCCCGGTTAGTTAAGATCCTGGTTAGGATGCCTATATTCCACATGGGATTGCCTGGGTTCAAGTCCTAGCTCCACTCCTGACTCCAGGTTCCTGTTAATACACACCTTGGGAGGCAGCAATGATAACTCAAGTAACTAGGTTCCTGCCACCCACATGAGAAACCTGACCTGGGTTCCTGGCTCCTAGCTTTGGCCCTAGCTGGGGCCTTCACAGTCTTTGGGAAAGTGAACCAGCAAATGGGAGCTCTCTCTGGCTCTCAAATCAACAACATTTTTAAAGCCCTTTTGGCTACTCCTTGGAAAACTTTGTTTTATTTATTTTTATTTATTTATTTATTTATTTATTTATTTTTGACAGGCAGAGTGGACAGTGAGAGAGACAGACAGAGAGAAAGGTCTTCCTTTGCCGTTGGTTCACCCTTCAATGGCCGGCGCACCGCGCTGATCTGATGGCAGGAGCCAGGTACTTATCCTGGTCTCCCATGGGGTGCAGAGCCCAAGCACTTGGGCCATCCTCCACTGCACTCCCTGGCCACAGCAGAGAGCTGGCCTGTAAGAGAAGCAATCGGGACAGAATCCGGTGCCCCGACCGGGACTAGAACCCGGTGTGCCAGCACCGCAAGGTGGAGGATTAGCCTAGTGAGCCACGGCGCCAGCCGGAAAACTTTGTTTTAAAGAGGTATTTCCTTGCGATGACAAGTATGATTATAGCATTTCGTCCTCATGATAAATCTTACCTTATATGACAGGAAAACAAAGCTGAGAAAATGAATCGGTAGCAGAGTGCCCATGGAATTGCTGTTAACTTCCGATGTGTGCAGATTCACCAGGACACCACGAAGGTCCATGAACATGATTTTCTTTAACTCTATTTTTCATTTTTATTACTATAAAGAGACAAGATTTCATGTGTTTCATAGGTACAAGTCTGAAAAGATAATCATACTTCCCTGCCTCCCTCAATCTTCCTCCTTCATTTCTTTTTTAATTTTTACAAGAACATAATTTCAATACACATTACATGAGCATATTTTTCACATTCACAAATAGAGGCAGGAAAATATCTCTGGGTACTCACTAGTAGAGTTAGGGTACTTGGGTCTTATCAAAGAAAGGTGTGGTTAGAGAAGTCATGAAAATGGCAGGCAGAGGATGGCCAGTCAACAACCTGGAACGTACAGGCTCTGAAATTCCAATGCTCAATAGCTTCACCAGCAAGCAGACATGTAGAGGGCTATGCCAAACATGCACAAGGAGGGAACACAGACATCTGATAAAGCAAGTGTTAGGACTTGTAGCCTAAAACTAAGAAAAATTAAGCCTGAGAGAAATGAACCATTTTGCCCAAAATCATATTTCTACAAACTGACAGAAGCAAGAGGGATATGCTGATCTGTAGGTCAATCAATGCTACAAATAGTCAATAAAAAGGAAAAAGGGCATTCTATGCTGGGAAGACCAAATGGGACCAAGGACCAGTGCGGGTAAAGGAGAAGTTTGTTAATAGAAAGGATAAAACGAAATTCAGAAAGGAAAGATGGAGCCAACCTATGCAGCCCGCCTGCCTTTCACACTCAATGGCACCTTGTCCTGCAGTCAGCTGGGAGCCCCATAATTCTGAAAATAAGACGTAAGAAGGCCGAGACTAGTGGGCCTACACAAAGTAACAGGATTAGTGGACGGAAAAGACGAGAGGCCATGTGCAAAACACCAGAAAGAACAAAAACTTAAAGTAACTGGACTAATATGCAGTGTTGGTATCACCAAGAAAAAACAATGTTTTCTAAGCCAAAGGTTTCTAAATAACATATCATTTAAAGCTTGGCAAACATTGTACAAATGCCAACAACTAAAATGTTCAAAACTAATCTGTTATATTCTTTTCAGTGGAAAGGGGGACAGATTTTGATAGGTAGTTAGAAACACTTCCCCATCTGCCTTTTTCCTTATCCAGGGTGAGCCCTCCAAGCAGGTGTGCTGCTACGGATGGAACACAATGGAGGGCATTATATAAGTCACGGCTCCCCTTCCTGGAAAGATGAAGGCCAGGTGCAATGGCGGGCTTGAAGGAAAGGACCGAGAAGGAAGGCGCCATCCTGTGACTCACAGGAAGGACAGGACTCACTCCACCCAGGGCTTCAGGCCCAGGCCCTCACGACTGCACCCAGAGCCCCTGTTCTACCTCCACCACTCCAGGCCTACGTATCCCCCAGCTTCCTCACAGAGAGTAGCCAGTGTCAAGACAGGCTTCACGGTTGCAGAGATCTGAGCTCTCAGAATCTCACCCTGGACAGAACAGATGTTTTCACCACTGCTATAGGATCTTCACTGACGGGACACACACTAATTCCTGATTCTACGAGAATTTTGACTTTTGTAATAAAAAAATCTACATATGCTCAAATTTGAGTTACTTTATCTTTAGTTTACACTGTATGATTAGCGTTCTTGAATTTAAAATGGAAGATCTTAATCTTCCAGCAACATATGGTTAACTATATACAATTTTCCTGTTCAGAAGTAACATGAATATATGTTAAAATTAACTGGATGTAATTCTGCATTTTCCCTCCTCAGTTTTAAAAACCTTCAGTAGAGAGAACAGGGATCTTGTGACTCAGAAGAGAAACTGGAGTAAATGATTCCTCTCTATTCATCTCAGCAATCAACAGCTAGGAGACAAAGCTGACCTTCCCCAACCCTCAGTAACAAACCACAGCCAGCCCAACCAGCAGTTGACAAAGCCCTGCTGAACTCCTAACACAAACTGCACCCCTCTAAGAAAATACTGATCCTCTGTATGTGGTGCCACCTTCATCCAGCTGCTGGAGGAGCAGTGTTAGAGCTGTACATGAACTCAGTGAAATGATGGGCTGTCTGTGCTGCCAAGGATCACCCCACTCACAGCTGCGCAGGTCCAAATGGAGCTGGGACCATCATTCTTACCCTGTCATAAAAGCATAAATAAAGATGGAGTCTTCCAAAATATCAGAATGCATTCCCTTGTAAAGTCACACTCAAGTCACTGGTAAAAATGAGACTAGCATTCCAAGATAGGGGGTTTTATGGGACGTGAACAAAATACACAATAAAAAATTTTTAAGTCAATTTTGTAAGGCAGTAATCCCCAAAATAGCAACATTTATACAGATTTAAAGTAGTAAGCCAAGTTATTTTCCTTTATCAGAACCAAAACCTTACAAACCCAGCTGTTGAACACCACTTGTCAAAGATGTCAAAATGTCTTTCAACATTCAGACAGTCACCTAGCCATTATTCCTGGGATGCATGGGGTGGCTGAAAGAATCACATTTGACAGATGAAAAAAAAAAAAAAAAGATTATCTGTGTGGAAAACACAGCTTTCTACTCCAAATCATCTAACCCAGCAATTTCCTACCCTTCTGCACTCGGATACAGCCAAACTTCAATAAAAGAACAGACTCCTACTTTTTGACAATTGGTACAAAATATGCAGACTTTATGAATAATCTTCCAATTTTTTATCATACACATAACCCAAAAATGCTGTTTATATGGATTTCAGAGGTTAAGAATTCAGGGTCCTTGGACTACAGCAAGGTCCTGTGTTCCATCGATCCACTCACAATCTCTCCCTCTAGGGAAACTGACAAGACCACAGCCCTCTTTGAAACAAGCAGCCCTAGGTCACAGCGTGTAGAAAAGGAGAGAGCACCAGCACCTCTAAGGCTACCTGGTTGAAGAGCTCCGATCAGCAAGGATGATGGTTACTACAGAGCCAATCATGCCTTTTCTCTTCTTTTGGAGTGTGGTCTATACACAGATCACCAGTAGACACAACAAGGAGAAGCAAGAACACACAGATCCAAGGGTAGAAGCCAAAATGGGAATGCTGAGCAATGTGAGGGGTGAGAATTAAACCTGCACTGACCAAGCACTGTCACCACAGGACACCCCTGCAGCTGCAACAGCGCAGGAAGTCTTCCCGCTCGCAGGGCACGCCCTGCATCCGAAGGGTCTGGCCAGACTACTCTCATCCTAAAAGGCCTCTGGAGTTCTTCACAGACCTACCACATGACTGACATTCTGTTTCCTTTGTTTTCTTGTTCACTCTTACTTAAACCTTCAATTTTATAATATACCTTGAGTTTCCACTCTTGCAATCAAAATAGTTTACATACACTCAACTCAAGATGTCTGTGTGGCTGGCACTGTGGATTAGCAGGTAAAGCAGCCATCTGTGACACCAGTATCCCCATATGGGCACCAGTTTGAGTCCCATCTGCTTGGCTTCCAAACCAGCTCCTTCCTAATGCGCTTGGGAAAGCAGCAGGGGATGGCCCAAGTGCTTGGGCCTCTGTACCCACACAGGAAACCAAGAGGGAGCTACTAGCTCCTGGCTTTGGCCTGACTCAGCCCTGGCCATTGTGGCCATTTGGGGAGTGTGTCAGCAGATGGAAGACCTCTGTCTCTCCTTCCTCTAACTCTGCCTTTCAAATAAATAATCAAAAAAAAAAAAAAAACTTTTTAAAAAACATGTCTGGGTGCCGGTGCTGTGGCATAGTGGGTAGGTAAAGCCGCCGCCTGCAGTGCCGGCATCCCATAAGGGTGCCAGTTCGTGTCCCAGCTGTTCCACTTCTGATCCAGCTCTCTGCAGAGACCTGGGATAGCAGTAGAAGATGGCCCAAGCCGTTGGGCCCCTGCACCCACGTGGGAGACATGGAAGAAACTCTTGGCTCCTGGCTTCAGATCAGTGTAGCTCTGGCCATTGCAGCCAACTAAGGAGGGAACCAGTGGATGAAAGATCTCCCTCTCCCTCTCCCTCCCTCCCTCTCCCTCTCCCTCTCTCTCTCTCTCCCTCTCTCTCTCTCTCCCTCTCTCTCTCTCTCCCTCTCCCTCTCTGCTTCTCCTTCTCTCTGTGTAACTTACACTTTAAAATAAATAAATAAATAAATAAATACACCTAAAAGTGCTTTGTAACTAAACAATCTAGTTATCCAACTTTTCTTTCTCTATGTTTGTAAATTTAGGGGCTACTTTGCCAATATTTACAAACATAAAGAAAGAAAAGTTGGCAAAGCCTACTTCCTTTGAATCAAGTTTAAACAAATCTTGTTGCATTATTTTCTCTCAGATTACTGCTACAAGTAGACCACAATCTACTTTCAAGCAGATGTAGAAATATTAGCCACAGTGGATCAGGAATCTTGACAATCTTAGTAATCTCTCTACTCTCTGTGGCAGATAGACCCTGTAACTTCTAGAGTGACAGCAAGCCACTGAGTACAAGTCTTAAAGTAGCAGAACCTGGGGCCAGTGCTGTGGTGCAGCGGGGTTAACGCCCTGGCCTGAAGTGCCGGCATTCCCATATGGGAGCTGGTTCGAGACCCGGCTGCTCCTCTTCCTATCCAGCTCTCTGTTGTGGCCTGGGAAAGCAGAAGATGGCCCAAGTGCTTGAGTCCCTGCATCCACGTGAGAGACCCAGAAGATGCTCCTGGCTTCTGGCTTCGGATCGGCGCAGTTCTGGCCCTCATGGCCAATTGGCACCTCTTTCAGTAACTCTTTCAAATAAATAAATAAGCCTTAAAAAAAAAAAGTAGCAGAACCTGACTTTTCTGGTCCCAGTAAGATAATATTGGCTCCCAACATCCCATAGTGAACAGGAAAGTTCAACATAACAAGGAATCATTCTACCAATATGCTCATAGCATCTCTTTTGTGAAAATCAGGATATTCAACATTCAAGACAACAAAAGTGGGTAAGAAAGGCAAACTGAAGAAGGCACACAGAAAACATACAGCTAACATCACACTTAACAGTGAGAAACTAGAAGCTTTTCCACTAAGATCAAGAACAGCGCAAGAATGTTCCCTCACCACTGCTCTTCAATGTTGTACCAGAGGTCCTAGCCATTGCAAGGAAAGAAAAGGTACACAGATCAGAAAGTAAAAAATAAAATAATCTGAAAAAACTGTCATAAAAACTCTTGTAACTAATAAGATATTATAATAAAATTGCAGGATACAAGACTAATATACACAGAAAAATCAATAGCCTTTGTGGACCAGTGCTGTAGTGTAGTAGGTTAAGCTTCCGCCTATGGCGCCAGCATCCTATGTGGGCACCAGTTCAAGTCCTGGCTGCTCCACTTCTGATCCAACTCCCTACTAACAGCCTGGGAAAGCAGTGGAAGATGGCCTAAGTGCTTGGGTCCCAGCACCCATGTGGGAGACCCAGAAGACACACTTGGCTCCTGGCTTCAGATCAGCCCAGATCTGGCAGCTGTGGCCATTTGGAGAATGAACCAGTGGATGGAAGATCTCTGTGTCTCTCCAACTCTGTCTGTAACTCTGTCTCACAAATGAATAAATAAATAAATAGCCTTGTACACAAAAAAAGTCCATGAAAGGACTTCAAAGATGATCCCATTCACAATCGCTATAAAAATGTAAATACCTTCGGAAAATTTAACCAAGTATGTGAAAGACCTCTACACTGAAAACTAAAAAACATTAAGGAAAGAAATAGACACAAAAAATGAAAAAATCTCCCCTAATCACAGATTGGAAGAACTAATATCATCAAAATAGCCAAAACAATTTATAGATTGAATGAGATCCCAAAGAAAATAAAGATATTCTCAGATCTGGAATAAATGACCCTAAAATTCATATGGAATCACAAAATACTCTTAATAGCTAAAGCATTAAAATAAAACTGGAGGCACCACAATACCAGATTTCAAGGCATGTTAGAGGGAAGTTATTAAAAAAAAAAAAAAAAAGAAAAAAAAAGAAAAAAAAAACTGGTACTGGCAGAAGAATAGACATGTGGACCAATGAAACAGAATAGAAAATGCAGAAATCAACCCATGCACATACAAACAACTAACCTTTCACAAATGAGCCAAAATCACTCCCTGGAAAAAGAACAGTCTCTTCAACAAACCGTGCTGGGCAAATTGGATCTCTAACACTCAGAAGTGTGAAATAAGACCCATGCCTTACAACCAATACAAAAATCAACTCACGGTGGATCAGGAATCTAAACCTAAGATCTGAAACCATCAAATTACTGGAGGAATCATTGCAAGACACTGACAAAGACAGAGACTTCCTGGATAAGACCCCAGAATCACAGGCAATTAAGGTAAAAAGAGACAAGTAGGGGTTATACCAAGCTAAGCAGTTTCTGCACAGGAAAGGAAACACTAAACAAAATAAAGAGGCAACTGACAGAATGGGAGGAAATATCTGCAAATTATACACCTATTAAAGGATTAATGTTCACGGTATATAAGGAGCTCATGAAACTCAACAACAAAACAAGCAATCCAGTTAAGAAATGGACTAAGTATATGAACAGGCATTTTTCAAAGCATGAATACAAATGGCCAACAGACACATGAAAAGATGTTCAGGATCACTAGCTATAAGGGAAACGCACCTAAAAACCACAATGAGTGGAGAGAGAAGGGTGGAGTGAAGCGGAATGGGCCACAGCATGCGTGAGAAAGACAGCTGAGGTCATTTGCACAAGGAACAACATTGACATGCCATGCTGCGCTGTTTTTACATTTTTGCAAGTTCTCGCCCTGGTGCTGGGTTCCATGAGAGCTGACACACTTTGTTCACATCTAGACCACGTTTGTAGTCTGAGTTGTCAGGAGAGGGGCTACGGGGTGATGGTTTGGATTAACTTTTACTCTTAGTGCAGCTGGGTCTAAGCAAATGTTTTGAAGCTCATCAGAAATTCAGTGTACTTCTAAAAGTGTAGGGTTAGGGTTAGGAAAACCAGTACAGGTGTAGGAAGGCAGGAAGGAGACCCACACAGCTGGCACTGGGAGGTGGTCTGGTGGCTGACTGTGCCCAGAGCAAGGGCAGGTCTAAGCTGTAACTGGTGGCTGGTTACTCTGTACCTATGTATGTGTTCATTGGGATGACTGTCCCATATTTTGTACATAAGAATAAGAATTTCTATGAATTACCATAACTAAAAGTAAATATTCTAAATGAAGTCCCACTTCTAAGTCACGTGGCTTCTGTCTGGGGAACCTGCCCTGGAGAAGATGGCTTACAACGGAGCCAGGAGGCCGTGGGGCCATGGGGAAGGCCAGCTGGAAGTGTCCCCTATGGGTCCTGGGGCCTCTGACCCTCGGCACAGGGTTTTCTTCTTTCATTGATGGCAGTAGAAAATACCTCATTTTACATAACATACTACTTTGTCTTCTTTCTTTAAAGATACCTTTCATTCAAGACTCTCTCATGAGGTATCTGGCTAGGAGCTAGGGAGGCTAAAATTCTCGGGCCCTGGCTCTTCAGTGCAGTGAACTGTATGACCTCTCACTGCTTCAGTTTCCCTGTGCTGTCAAGCAGGAGCAAAACCTACCTCACAGGGCTGTCGTGGGGATTCACTAGAGATGATCTGTAAAGCATTTAAGGTTCTCGAAGAAGGCGCTATATAAATACAAAATAATATCTATTAAAGCTGGTTTACCTGTGGATAACAAAAAAACCACAATGAGGTTTCACCTTACCCCAGTTATAACGGTACCATCTAAAAATCAAAAAAAGACAAATGATAATGAGGATGCGTGAGAAAATGTACCTTAACACGCTGATGGTGGGAGAGGAGAGCAGTGCAAGCATTATGGAAGAGAGGATGGAGGTACCTCAGAAATCTGAAAACAGACCTACCGTACAACCCAGCCATCCCACGCCTGGGAATTTACCAGAGGGAAATGAAATCAGCACAGGATAGAGTTATCTGTACCCATGTCTATTTCAGCTCAACTCATAAGAGCTAAGATATGGAATCAACCCAGATGTCCATCAACTGAAGAAAGGTTAAAGAAACTGTGAAACAGAGACACGATGGACTACTACTCAGCCATAAAAAAGAATGAAATCCTGTTTTTTGCAGTAAAATGTATGCAACTAGAGATGATCATGCTTAGTGAAATAAGCCAGTCCTCAAAAGACAAATATCATGTTTATGTTTTCCCTGATTTGTAGTAACTCAGATACAATAGAGTACCAAAAAAATGTAATGGATATGAGCAAAATTGACATTTTGAGATTTGATTATTGTTTATAGCTCTTGTCTATATGCTTGAAGAACAACAGTTTTTCTAATTACTACCTGTCAAATTCTTCATTCAGTGGAGGGTTAAGCTGATTATAAAGTAAGTTGAAAGCATATCATTGTAAGAATTAAAATCAAAAAGGAAGGCAGAGGTAGGGAGGGTTGGGTGGAAGTATCATTATGCTGTTAAAACTGTATATACAAGGGCTAGCGCTGTGTGGTGTAGCAGGTAAAGCCACCACCTGCAGTGCCAGAATCTCATATGGGCCGCTGCACTTCCGATCCAGCATTCTGCTATGGCCTGGGAAAGCAGTAGATGATGGCCCAAGTCCTTGGGCCCCTTCATCCATGTGGGAGACCCAGAAGAAGCTCCTGGTTCCTGGCTTCGGGTCAGTGCAGCTCTGGCCGTCACGGCCATCTGGAGAGTAAACCAGCGGATGGAAGACTTTTCTCTCTCTGCTTCTCCGTAACTCTGCCTTTCAAATAAATAAATAAAATCTTTAAAAAAAGAAACTATAATATGAAAATTTCCCCTTTAAATTTTAATTGAAAAATCAATTGCTTTCCTATATACCAGCAATGAACAAGTAAATGTGAAATGAAACATGCAATACCATTCATATCAGCACCCCAAAATACCAAATACTAAAAGATAAATCTAATAAAATATGTACAAAGTCTATTTGAGGAGAACTACAATGCTCTGAAGAAAAAAAAAAATCAAAGAATAACTAAATAATGAGATATTCTACACCCAGGGAGATTTGCTAGTATCAAGATGTCAGCTCGGCCGGCACCGTGGCTCACTAGGCTAATCCTCCTCCTGCGGCACCAGCACCCGGGTTCTAGTCCCGGTTGGGGCGCCGGATTCTGTCCCGGTTGCTCCTCTTCCAGTCCAGCTCTCTGCTGTGGCCCAGGAGTGCAGTGAAGAAGGCCCAAGTGCTTGGGCTCTGCACCCGCATGGGAGACCAAGAGAAAGCACCTGGCTCTTGGCTTTGGATCAGTGCGGCGCGCCAGCCGTAGCGGCCATTTGGGGGGTGAATCAATGGAAGGAAGACCTTTCTCTGTCTCTCTAACTCTGCCTTTCAAAAAAAAAAAAAAAAAAAAAAAAGATGTCAGCTCTTCTCACCTTGGTCTACCAAAGTCCCAACAAGGTAGTTTGTGACTATCAACAAATTGATTATAACGTTTATATGAAGAGGCAAAAGACAAGAATTGCCACAAAATACTGAGGAACCAAGCATAAAGACTGACACTATTTGACCTCCAGATTTACTATAAAGACACAGCAGTCGAGACACAGTGGTACTGGTAAAAGAACAAACAGAACAGACTACAGAGTCCAGAAACAGACGCACTAAACATAACCAATTGGTCTTTGACAAAGGTCTTAGATAAAGGCAATATAATGAAGGAGAGATATGTTTGTTATAGTGTGCTGGAACAACTGGAGATCCACAATAGAAAAAAAATTAATCTAGACAGACTTTATACTCTTCAAAATAATGATCAAAGGCCTACATGTAAAACACAAACTATGAAACTCTCAAAAGATAAAATAGGACAAAACATCATTCAAAGGGCAGATATTGAAGACAAACCCTTTCCATATTCCCAAGGAAAGGAAGAAAGAGAAATGCAAAGTTTCTAGAATTAAAACATATTTTCTTCAAACATTCTCTGGCCTTTATTTTGTTGTCTGCAAAAACTGGATCAGCAGTCACATGGGAGAATATTTTTCTCTGAGGATTACTTCTTTATGTCCTTTGGTCCAAACACAAGTGAGTGACTTCAGCATGAAAAGCTCACCCCGTCAAACACCGCATCCTTGACTGCAGTGACAGTCCTCTTGCTGCCTCATCCATTCTCCCCTTTGTTGAATTTCCAAAGGAAAGCCTTCATCCACAGTACACTGTGGCAGCGAATCAGAACATGCTGCCTTAGAATACTCAGAATTAAGTACTCCTCATAGTTTTCCACACTAACTAACCCTTCACCCTTCTTCAAACTCCCTCTGTTCCTCAGTTACCACCATCACAGGGATGAAGAGTGATGCTTGTGTCTTGGAAATCTGGGGAGACGAGCATTGTTTCTTACCACTCACACAGCACCCAAGTAATCGGAGTACTATGTACATCACTTCCTTGGGCTAATGTGTGCCTATTTTACAAGGAGGGACGCAACTGGAAACCAGCATACTTAGTGAAACAAGCCAGGCCCAAAAAGACAAATACTATATGTTCTCCCTGATCTGTGGTAACTAACAGAGCACCTGAAAGGTAATCTATAGAAGTGAAACTGACACTTTCAGATGCAATGATTCTGAACAGCTCTCGTCTCGACTGTTGAGGAATGGTGTTTCATTTTGTTTTTCTTCATGCTACTTGTTGAACTCTTTACTTAATTTAGGGTTAATCTTACGAGTATAAAGTTAACCGAAAATAGACGTTTGTAAAAAATAATAGAAATAGGAGAGGGAGGAGGAAGAAGGGTGGGAGTGTGGGCAGGAGGGAGGGTAGTGTATGAAGAATCACTACATTCCTAAATTTGTATTTATGAAATGCATGAAGTTTGTATAACTTAAATAAAAGGTTTTTAGGCTAAAAATTAAAAAGCAAAATTAAGTTAAATGATTAAAACATAGCCCTAGAGAAACTCAAACCAAGACAAAGTCACTGTGCTCCTTCAGTGCTGGTCGTCAAGCAGAGGAAGTTTTGCTCCCCAGGGATCTTCAGCAATGCCTACAGGCATTTTTATTATCAAAGTTGTGGGGACAGCTACTGGCAGTCAGGAAGCAGGGGAAAGGGCACTGCCAAACACCCTGCAAACCACAAGCCATTTCACACAGGAACTGTCTGACCCAAAACGCCCACACTGCCCAGGCAGAGAAATCCTGGTCCACTGGCAGCTCTAGCATTTTATTTATTTGAGAGATAGAGTTACAGACAGTGAGAGAGACAGACAGAAAGGTCTTCAATATGCTTGTTCACTCCTCAACAGCTGGCAACAACTCCTCAACAACTGCAGCAACAGCCGGAGCCGCACTGATCCGAAGACAGGAGCCAGGTGCTTATTCCTGGTCTCCCACACGGGTGCAGTGGCCCAAGGACTTGGGCCATCCTCCACTGCCTTCCCAGGCCACAGCAGAGAGCTGGACTGGAAGAGGAGCAGCCGGGACTGGAAGAGGAGCAGCCGGGACTAGAACCGGTGCCCACATGGGATGCCGGCACTGCAGGTGGAGGATTAACCTACTGTGCCACTGCACTGGCCCCTCTAACATCTTCTTAGAACTTTCTTAGAATGGCTCCCTCTACATATGATCATTGTACAATACTTACACAGAAACAAGCCAGTCAAGATCTATTTCTGGCAAGCTTAAAAAAAAAAAAAAAACACAACTTTATTTATTTTCATTTTTATTTGAAAGAAAGAGTGAGAGAGATATGTAGAATGAAAGATCCTCCATCAGCTAGTCCACTCCCCAAATGCCCATAATAGCCAGGGCTGGGCCAAGCCAACTCTGGGACTCCCAAATAGGTGACGAGGACTCACGTCCTTCAGATCAAAGCAGAGAAAGAAACCAAACTCAGGCCTTCTGATCTGGGATGTGAGCATTCCAAGTGGCATATTAACCACCGAGTCAAGTTCCTGTCCCCAGGCTACACTTTTTAGTTAAGATAAAGAATATGAAGGAGGCAAGGAGGAAAATGAGGCAATCTGGCAAAGTTCAGCTCCTTTCTTGTAAAAAATCTAGCCAAGGCTGGCTGCTTTCACTGGCAACCTCCACGCCAAGGCATGGTCTCTGCATCTAAGTGCTCACCTGGACTCTTCTCTTGGCAAGTCTGATAGCTGCCCTCTCCCTGCTTTGCTGACCTCCAAGCACATGGATCCCTCCAAAGCAATAATGATGTACACTTGTGGGAATCTCCAGAGACCAACAGCCCTTAGTTGTCCATCTTATTCAGTAAATTGCATTCATATGGAACCACATAAGGCAGCTTAAGACATCAGCCCATCCGGGGGTCCTGTCTGAGCTTGGGTAATGCATTAGCCAGCGAGGACTCCATAGTATTGAATTGAGCACTTGAGGCAACCTATCATCAGGTCTTTCAGCTAAGTGCTATTTTTCTTTAGCCTCCTTTCCTTCCTCCTCAGTCATTTCTTAGCTCTGCTCAGATTTATAATAATCATAACTGTCCCTTCAAGGAGCCTTCAGTCCAAGATTTAGAAGTTAGAGATCTCAAAGAAGATGCAATGAATTTTCAACCCCTCCATCACGGACCTCTACCTGGACACTGAGAAGGGCACACCAAACAATGAATTACTTCTCATGATCTCAAAAATCCTCAGCATAAATAAAAATCTGAAGCCAATTTTGTTTATGATGTCCCCAATGTCCACACATATTGGGCTCAAGTAGATGAGGAGTGTGTGGACATGTGGCTTTAACAGACACTGGATAAAATAAAATGAACAGGCAGAACCATGTGTGTATTAGTGCTATTATGCTTGGGTGAAACTGGGAATCGTAAATCTCTGGCAAACTACTTCCTTGAAGAAAAAAAAAAAATGAAGGAAAAGTTAAGCAAAGTCATCTATGAAGAAGAAAGACAGTGAGCAAGCGAAATATAAGGCAGGAGAGCTAACAATACGATATGGCTGCGAGTAAAAGGCAACGTCCCCTCTCTAGTGGACTCAGGAAAGCCCAACAAACCTCCCATGAGATCACATCCCTCTCCATAAATCACAAACCCATTAAAACTCCTGTGTTCAATATTCCCATACAGAGACTCTATCCCACCTTTCTCCTCGGAACTGCTGGCTGTCAGCGTGTCTCTACGTGAAGCTTTAGAAGCCTCTCACAGAAATGGCATCCTACTGCACTGATTCCAGAGGCTGGTGAGCCAAGAACCTCTACACAGTAGCAAAGCCAGAGAAACAGCAGGAGAGAACGCCTTTGCCTTACCCTGAAGAAGAGGGAGTAGAAGCCTTCAGACACATACACATCCTCATGACCCACAGGCGCTGCTACTTTTCACTATTCACGCGCTTCTGCATGTTGGACCACAACCAATGGATCACCAACTGCCAAAGACAAAAATGAACGAATGCATTAAATTAAGATTCACAACTTCAAGTCCTGAGACACTGCTCAAGTGAAGCTGATAGAGGAGGGTAAGTGCTTAATTCACAGATCCAAACGGGATGAGTGCAACGGCCAAAGTTTATTAAAAGTTTGTTTTTCGTTCCTGTTTGAATACTGAGGAAGTACGCAGGTCAGTCAGGAGGGTGGTCCTAATGTAGCAATTAAGACACTCAGTTTGATGAAAGTTCTGCCATCTTTACAACATAATTTCCAGGACAGGTATGTGGCACAGTGGTTAAGACACCACCTGGGGGACCAGCATTGCAGTGTAATGGGTAAAGCCACCACCGGCATCTCATATGGGTGCTGGTTTGTGTTCTAGCTGATCCACTTCTGATCCAGTTCCCTGCTAAGGTAGAAGATGGCCCAAGTGTTAGGGCCCCTGCCATCTACATGGGAGACCCAATGAAGCTTCTGGCTCCTGGCTTCAGTCTGGTCCAGCACTGGCTATTATAGCCATCCAGGGAGAGAACCAGCAAATGGAAGATCACTCCCTCTCTCTCTGTTTCCGCCTCCTTCTCTGTAACTCTGGCTTTCAAATAAACAATCTGAGGGGGAAAAAAAAAAGGCACCACTTTGGGATACCCCTATCCCAGGAGAGAGAGTGGATTCTAATCTCAGCTCTACTTTCAATCCAGATCCTGTTAATGTGCACCTTGGGGGGCAGCTGGTAATGGCTCAAGTACTTACGTCCCTGCCTGCCACCCATTTGGGAAACCCAGGTTCAGTTCTGAGCTCCTGCTTCAGCCTGACCCAGCACAAGCTGTTCTGGGCATTTGGGCAATGAACAGCGAAAGGAAGATCTCTCTTTGCTTGTCTCTGTCTCTTTCTTTCTCTCATTCACTCGCTTTCTCTCCTTCTCTTTCAAACAAATAAAAAACAACATAATTTCCAAGGTTGCCCTAGGAGTCCTTTTCAATCCAGCAAGCTAGGAATGAAAAGTACCATGGTGGAGCTTGAATGAACCTTCTCTCTTTTTGTGTGTGTGTGTGGTTTTTTCCTAGAAGATCACATTTCCACCCAAGTTATTAATATTTAAAACTCAGTTATGCAGTCACACTTAACCCCTGGGCTACTGGACAGCTAGCAGTCTCTATCACAAAAGGGTGAACCCAACCCAATTAGGAAGACAGCATTAGGGTTAGAGTAACGAGTTCCAGGTGAAGTACTAGTGCAGTAACCCTGACTTCGTTACTGAATTCTGCGTCATGGTTTCCTCACCTGTAAAACACCCTGCCTCTCCGGACCAGTGTAAGACTCACAATTTTTAAAAAGCTGCACTTCTCAGACTTTAATGAGCATGCACTTCACCTAGGTATTTTATCACCTGATACAACTCTGATTCTGACTTGGCAGGTGTAAACAGGCCTGAGATTCTGCATCATTAACAAGCTCCCAGGAGATACTGATGCTGCTGTTCTCTGGCCACACTTGGAGTAGAAGAGAGATAAAGGATGAAAGAATACTTCTTGTAAACCACAAAGTAATTTGTAGATACAAAGAATTATTACCCTGGCACCTATGTTAATTGATTATAAATGAATTCCCAAATAGCCAGCATTTTTAGGACACATTTAGTCTCAGTAGCAACTAGAATTTCACAGTCACAGGATCTGGAAACAGAAGATTTCAGTGATCACCACTCTCTCCCCTTATTTTCCAGACAAGAAAACAAACTGAGAGGAGCCGATAATAATACCCTCCAAACGTCACAATAACTCAGCACTGTCCTGGGATTAGTATGTAGACACCTAATATTGTTTTCTGTTACTACATAAACTCAATTTATGACCTTTAAAAGAAAAGGCAATTTTTATTCTTCTGCTAAAACAAGAGTGAATATTACTCTGACCCACATTCAAATATCTACCAGAGCCACTATGGTACCAAATATAGGCAAGGTATCACAGAACACAATCAAGTATTTTCAAGCAAATGCTCTTTAAATTTCAGTGCCCGCCACTCCCTCCCCAGTAAATAATATCTCTTGGTTAAAAGGAAGACTTGAACACAAAGTAACTTCTATATACCTTCTGACAAAAACAAGAATTTTTACTTCCAATAAACGTAAACTCTGAATCACTCCTATGTGGGGACAATTACAAAACAGAGAAATTGTGGTTGCAAACAGAAAACTGAAATGCAACAACTAGCCAGAAGAAGTAGCAGTTTCTGTGGTAAATGTTGGGGATAAATAAAGGAACATAAAAACAAACATGTTTTTAAACCCCTGATATATATGTATATATATTAATTTGCATCTCTGAGATAATGGTGTGTCCTATGAGCCTATAGAACACGAGATGTCATACCTCAGAAATCAAAGACAGGAATCAAAAACTCCCGTCATAAACTGGAAAGGCACTCCCTAGAATCCAATCAGACTAGGAGAGAAGGGAGGCTCTTAGCACACCCATTATTGCTAATAATGCAACATGAATTTGAAAGTGGATGAAAATAGGAGACAGCATTTACTAAGCAAAGAATGATAAATGGAAATCACTACCTGCATATCTATTATAAATTTAAGATGGGCAAAATACTATTATTAGATCATCATTGACCAAGAAATTTTAAACTTCAACAAATATTCTAAGAACTTCCATAGGTTTGCTCCTGTACTATACCCCAACTCTCTTCTACCATAATGACTCTAACTACTCAATTAAGAATTCTCCCAGCCAGCACCGCGGCTCAATAGGCTAATCCTCCGCCTCGCTGCGCCAGCACACCGGGTTCTAGTCCCGGTCGGGGCACCAGATTCTGTCCCGGTTGCCCCTCTTCCAGGCCAGCTCTCTGCTGTGGCCAGGGTAGTGCAGTGGAGGATGGCCCAGGTACTTGGGCCCTGCACCCCATGGGAGACCAGGAGAAGCACCTGGCTCCTGCCTTCGGATCAGCACGGTGCGCTGGCCGCAGTGTGCCAGCCGTGGTGGCCGTTGGAGGTTGAACTAACAGCAAAAAGGAAAACCTTTCTCTTTCTCTCACTGTCCACTCTGCCTGTCAAAAAAAAAAAAAAAAAAAAGAAAGAAGAAGAAGAAGAATTCTCCCAAACTACCACTTTTCCAGAACCTACTTGAGATTCTAGAATTTTTATCCTATTTTTCTACCATGGACCCTTTTGGTAGTCTATTGAATCTCACACTAATGTGTTAGATACATAGAACAAAATATGTAGGATTACAAAGGAGGTAGACTACATGGAAACACTCTCCTATACACATTGACCCTGGGTAGTCCATGGACCCAATATAAGAATATTCTAAGATGATGACAGTTTTTACTTACAAGTAACAGTATGCAGAAAAGTTTTCAAAACCTACAGATAGAGATTCCAAGATGGTGGATCAGGGAACAACACACTACGCAAAGCTGGGGATAAATAGTGTTTTAAAAAAAAAAAAAAGTTTAGGAAAAACACTCTCGCATGAATTGGAGAGAAAACCGCACTGGAAATCCTACAAGAGGAAGAGGAATGTGTGGACCTGTGCGTAGGGTGCAGACGCGCAACATGAACACAAAAACAAGAACTACAGAAGCCAAGAGCCAGAGTGGAGCACCTTGGAACAGAGGTGAGACTGGACAGCAGCAACCCATGGTGATACAGCAGGATGAAGAACGTGGCTGAGTCCAGACTGGAGTGCTGTGGGCTAGTGTTTGCTAGCAGTCACTGGCAGACCAAACGAGAGTGAGTGGGCACGTTTATCTCGCCCCAACATCCCTGTAACACTGCCTGGCTGAGAAAGGGCGGGCACCATTTTTGGTTTGGGCAGGAGTTGCAGAAGATTTTGTGCACAAACACAGCAACTGGCTGAGACAGAACATCAGTTCTCAGCAGTACTGGTGGCAGTGGTGGGAGAGAGCAACATTCAGCAAACGGCTCTTCCTACACCGAAGATCCCGAGATTCCAGTGGAGGGAACACTCTGCAGTCCCCACTGACTTTGAGCCTGGCTGGGAGGTGACTGGACAGCCACATAGGAGGGTGAGGCCCCACAGCCTCCCAGATAAAAGGCTTAGGAAGAGCTGTCTTAGGGAACACCTACCTCTCTGTTGACTGGACAGGCTGGCAGGGCAGAAAGAAACCTCTGCACCCAGCAACTGTGGGAGCCTTGTGTGCTGAGACCATGGGAACTCCGTCATTACATGAGAAGACCCAGGGTGCAGCTGGGTCTCTGGGCAATCCCCGGGAATGGCTCCACACTCTCAGAACTCCTTGATTGTCTAGAACAGGTCATTGCAGCGGGAACTGTGCTGACAGCGAGGACTGCACACATCATTTGTGTGGTTCACAGGGTGGCACAAAACACACTGTGGCACTGAGACCTACCATGCCCACCTTGGGCGTTACCCTCGACAATCGTCCCACCCTGGAGCACTAGCCAGAGCTCCCTGGCCACACCTACCACATAGCTCTTGGTATTCACTAAAAGTACACACATTCCACTAAGCCAGAGAGGCATGCTCTAAGATAAAAGCCATAAGAGGAAAAAAAAATCAACTGTACAAATGCCTAAAAATAATGCAGAAATATAAGAAACAATAAAGACAACATCATGACCCACCAAAAGGAACACAACATTTCATTATCAGTAAAGATAGGGGCTGGCACTGTGGTATAGGGGGTAAGGCCACCGCCTGCAGTGCCAGCATCCCATACTGGCACCAGTTCAAGCCCCAGCTGCTCCACTTCCGATCCAGCTCTCTGCTATGGCCTGGGAAAGCAGTAGAAGATGGCCCAAGTCCTTGGGCCCCTGCACCTGCATGGGAGACTGAGAAGAAACACCTGGCTCCTGGCTTCAGATCGGTGCAAGCTCTGGCCATTTGAGGAGTAAACCAACAGACGGAAGACCTTTTCCCTCTGCCTCTCCCTCTGTCTGTAACTGTACCTCACAAAAAAAAAAAACAAAAAAAAAAAAAAAGGATTACTCAAAAGCAATCAG